ACACACACACACACACACACACGCACACGCACACACACACGCACACACACACAGAGACACACAGAGACACACACACACACACACACACACACGCGCGCGGCGCGCGCACACACACAGAGAGACACACACGCTTAAACTCTCACACATGATACACAGTGGCGGAGCGAAGTGAAGGGCTAAAGGGCTTGAGCCCACCCTCATCCGAACTCGTTCCCTCCGAAAATGAATGTTTCTTCTAATAAACGAGATAATCCGTTGAAACCGTTAGAACTGTTTCAGAATCTCCTTTTCCTCCGCCTTTGGTTGCATGCGGTGAACACACATGCCTGCTCGTTTATCCAATCACAGCTATCACCGCTCACAACGATGTATATTATTATTTTTAGAGTAACCTAACAGCCAAGCAAATGTGAGGCGCGCTGACAAAATGAGTTACTTCTTGGATTCAGGCCTTCAGGAAATAGATACATCACACTTATAGGTGAAGTTTTTACAATTTATAAGTATGAAATAAAAGGTATGTTGTACCTAAAGAATATGGCATCAATAGAAAAGCTACAAATTTGACCCTAGTGTCAATTTTTGGCAAATATCTCCATTTGTGGACTGCGAGAAGTAACTCATTTTGTCAGCGCGCCTCACAAATGTGTGTAGCGCTCAGCAAAGCATGAGCCCATCATTCCCACGGGCCTTTCTTAACGAAACTCTTCTTGAAAAAAGGTAAAAGAAACAAGCATGAGCCCGCGGAAACTGTTGTTAGAGAGAGCTCGTTCTCTGCCAGCCCAGACATTGGGGGGGAGAGTTCATGACACACTTTCCCCCAGATATCCAGTAACCAAAACACGCTCGTGAGCCCACGTTTTAGGAATGCCTTGCTTTCTGCGACCCCACGGCCTAATCCATTTTTTTGTGCCTTATTCAACGTTATTCAGAAAAATTCACGCCTAAATGAGTTCTTTAATGGGCATGAAAGATGATGAGCCAAAAAAACAAAAATTTGATAAAAATTCTTAAGCCTGCGGAAAAATACAAGTTTCTTAACTTTGATTATTTTGACGAGAGTCTGATTCCACCACGCTGCCTCACATTACATTACACACCTCAACACGTACATCGCTACCCCAGCCAGATTTACAAAGTTCTATCTGACATTTGAGTTACTGCGACCACGAGGCCAGCCAGCAGCCAAAGTTCTATTGAGTTACTGCGACCATGAGGTCACAGCTAGCAGCCAAAGTTCTATTGAGTTACTGCGACCATGAGGTCACAGCTAGCAGCCAAAGTTCTATTGAGTTACTGCGACCATGAGGTCAGCCAGCAGCCAAAGTTCTATTGAGTTACTGCGACCATGAGGTCACAGCTAGCAGCCAAAGTTCTATTGAGTTACTGCGACCACGAGGTCAGCCAGCAGCCAAAGTTCTATTGAGTTACTGCGACCACGAGGTCAGCCAGCAGCCAAAGTTCTATCTGCTCTAGCGTAGCAAAATCGTAAAGTTATTCGAGTAGCTCGGTCTTTTAGCTGGGATATTGTATCCCTCTCAGCTCGGGTCGTTCGCCCTGATTGGGTCTGGCAGGGTCGGAAGCCCGCCTCCCGAATAATCTAAATGTGAGGCGCGCTGACAAAATGAGTTACTTCTCGCAGTCCGCAAATGGAGATATTTGCCAAAAATTGACACTAGGGTCAGATTTGTAGCTTTTCTATTGATGCCATATTCTTTAGGTATAACATACCTTTTCTTTCATACTTATAAATTGTAAAAACTTCACCTATAAGTGTGATGTATCTATTTCCTGAAGGCCTGAATCCAAGAAGTAACTCATTTTGTCAGCACGCTTCACAAATTGTCGCTACCTTAGAATAACAAAGTTTTACATAATTGAGTCAATAGAGCCGTAAAACACCTACTCAATCAATCAATCAAAAAAGTTTTACATCTGCTTAGTACTGGTTGTTGGGTTTTTTATTGTTGTTGTTGTTTTGGTGGGGTTTTTTTTTTTTTTAGTAAGTGTTTTACGGCGCTCGCAACTGCATAAGGTCATATGAGGTCATTAAACATTTTCAGTAAGTAGGAAATTTTGAATTTTGCCCAGGTGGCAGCCGAAGCCTACTCTTCTCGAATTTGGACCAATAAGGGATCTTTAATGTGCGCAACTTCCCACGGGACCTCTGAGATTGTTTGCCCTTATCAGAGCAGGCTAGGTGTAGATCTTACCTATCAGAAGATCAGGGGTGTGGATGAAAGACGGCAGTTACAAGGAGCCAAGGAGTAGCGGTAGAGGGCTGTAGAAAGAGTTAGGAGCCCAGAGGAGGGGACAAAGGAGGTGAGGGGGTGGGGCAGAAAGTGGATACGAAAGCAGACGACAAATCATTAGAGAGAAGGAAAATTGCTGGTTGGTGGGTGGTCTGGTGTGGCTTGCTCATTCTTTCCTGTCAAACATCTATTGTCCTTATCTCGTCTCCTTTATTGTGTATGTTACTCTCTTGTAACACCTCTAATCTTCGGCACTTATATGACCTTATTGTGTTGCAAGTGCCTTAAAACTCTTACGAAAACTAAAGAGAGTAGGAAAGGAGGTGAAAGGAGAACATTTTGGAGCAGAAAATTTTCCGTCGCTATCTGGATTCGAACCCAGGACCTGTTGAATGAGAGGCGGACACCGTAACCTCTCGACCATGAGAGTCCCCCCC